ATCTGTAATAACTCATGAGTTTAACAAAATTGTTTCCTCATGTCAACACAGTGGCCTGTGGAAAATGCACAAGTGGACACAACATTGAAATGTCACTATCAAAGTAGGGCTGAGTGGAAGAGTATAATGTCTTGACTTTTTCTGTTGCATTATGTTGAACCCAATCTAGCCCTTTCTTCGGTATCTGTCGGCAGAGATGTCTGTTTTATTGAAGTAGCCAGATGTACAATTTTACAACTAAATGATGCTCCAGCAATTGCAATCCATTCCAAGAGTTTCACAATTTGAGGTAAATGTAACTTTTAGGGAAGGATCGCATTCACCAGAGAATGAGAGAAATGACTACATTAGTGAAAAACAGAATACTGAGCACACTGGAAATTTCAAATAAAAGTAGAAAATGCTAAAATATTAAGGCAGCATTTGTATAGCTTCTGATTCACGCATCTTTTCTGAGCTGACTGTCAGCAGAAAATGTTTAATGCAGCCTTGCATAATTTGATTGTAATACAAGGACTTGGAGACTGTGTGCATTGGCCCCTGATGACTTGCTGTTCCATGTTGAAGGTGCAATGTGGCCACACAATTCAACAGAATGAGGACCACAGAAATGTATTAGATGAAGACCACTTTTCTGACAACTACTGATTACTGAAAGATTTTGGCACAGACTAGGTAGTGGGTGAAGTTTGGACTACAACAGCAGGGACATATAAGGCTTTGGTGAGACTAGCAGTTTGGATCCTATACTGAGGGAAGGATATGCTGGTCTTGGAGTGGGGTAGAGAAAGTTCACAAGCATGATTCTGGGAATCGAGGTCTTGTCATTTGAGGACTCTGGGTTTGTGCTCGGAGTTTAGAAGGCTGAAGATTGAAGCTTGCAGGATACTAAGAGGTCTGGATAGAGTGGATGTGGAGATGATGTTTCCACTACTTGAGAGACTAGGACCTGGGGGCATAGCCTTCTAGGTAAGGAACAACTGAGATGAGAAATTTTTTTAAGCCAGGATGTGGTGAATTTGGAACTCATTGCTGCAGAAAGCTGTACAGGCCAAGTCATTTAAGACATTAAGACAGGTTGGTTCTTGATTAGTGAGTCGATCAAGGGTTATGGGGAGAAGGTAGGAAAATGGGGCTGAGAAATATATCAGCAGTCATTGAATGGCAGAACAGATGTGATGGGCTGAATGGCCTAATTCTGCTCCTGTATCATATGGGAGCCAGATTCCTGTTTGCTTGGTTTTTCAGCCTTGATACATTTGACATGCTTACAGTTTACAAATTTACACTTGTAAACAAATAGTGAAACCAAAATGCTAGGGGGAATGTTAAAGCCCAGAAAGTTAGGCAGCATCTCTGATGAGAGAGAATTTCAGAGCAACATTGATCTGATGAAATGTCACAGATTTGAAACATTAACTGTATTTCTCTCCCTGCCTACCCTAATGTGTATTTCCAGCATTTTCTGTTCTTATTTCAGATATTCAGCATCCACCCTGCTATGCTTTTCACTTTGTTTGTAAGCACACAACTTCATTTTCTTGAACTCTACGTGGTTTTAAATTTGGTTACATCTTCTAATCTGACTAACTACTTCGAAAAGCATTTTGGCTTAAGGAAAGTCTGAGTGGAGAAAATAGCTTTAAATGTTTGTACTTTTTAAAAAGAAATCAAATGTTGATAAAATAAATTCCTTCCCTCATGTACTGTTTTGTATCTCCTTTGCTCATGTACTGACAGTGAGAGGTGAAGCATCTGTACCATATAATATCTCCACTTATCTCTTATGGAATTTTCAACTGTTGGGCTGAATTGGGAACAAAAGCAGAAGTTGCTGGAGAAATGCGGCAGGTCTGGGCAGCATCTGTAGAGAGAAACACAGTTACTGTTTCAAGTCCAGTCATCCTTCATCTTCACAGACACTTCACTGTTGTAGGAATGATGGCAACCAATTTGGAGACTGCAAATTCTCAGGAGGAGTATTGTGCTGATGGCTAAGAAATCAATTTTGGTGATGTTGATTGAGTGATTAGCAGTACACAAGACGATGGGGAGAAGTCTGCTGCTTCATATTGAAACAGTGCCATGGGGTTTTTAATGTCCACGTGATGTTTTATCTTAAAACTCATTTCTTTGATGGTAGCAGCACTCTACTGTGGTATGTACCTGGATTTTCGGTTCAAATCTCTGGGTCTACACTCAATATTCATCAATTCAGTAACTTGTCCTACAGGCTTAACCAAGTTCTTGGTGTTAAGAAATTACAGGTCACAAGGCTCCTATGAAATAGACACATGGCATATAATCATAATAAGGGGGAAATGTGCAGGGGTATGGGTCTCATTATATGTGGCTACAGAGAGAGGGCTGGAGAGTAGGATGAGCTGGGTATGTCGTTTGGGAGCCAGTACTGACGTGATGGAACGAATAGCCTTCTGTATGATTCTTTTTAGTGGAGATGATACCATTGCCTGAAGGCTGCAGGTTTAATATATTCACATCAACACTATAAAATCTTTATCTGTTCTTGACAGGTCTCTACCTCGGTAAAAATGTCAGATGATTTGTATGGCAAGTTCCTAGCACCAGATGAACCATTCCCCTTGTTACCACAAAGGGGACACACAAGTGACGTTGCCAGCCTTGATATTAGTGATTTTGGCTGTCAGCTTTCATCATGCCACAGAACTGATCCATTGCGTAGACTCCATACCAACAGGTAGGTAACATCAAGCCAAGTATCCGGTATTACCTTTACTCATGACAAGTCTTATTGCTCCATTTGTCCGTAATGTATGTTTCAAGATTAGATGATCGTGTAACCTCCCCTTTGTGCATTTTCTATCCTACAGAAGAGGCAAGTGTTTTCTGTTTAATATTTACACGAGAAGCAGATTTGCAGAACTTGAGTTTGACTAAAAATGTTCTATCAGACATTGTTATTTGGTGAATTACATGGAATAGTTTTCTCTGGTTGCCCCCAAGTTTATTTTCTTACTATTGGCCCTTCAGTACATGTTTGTGACAGTATTTTAATTTAGATGAGTTTTTCTCTTGCCTTTTCCTACTAAGTTAAGCTGCTTTTATAAGTACTAATGCTCTCACTACCACCTTTCTTTTATTCCTTCCTGAGTGTGGGTGGCACTAAGAAAGAATGCATTCTTTGGTCCATCCCTAATCGCCGTTGAACTTCATGGCTTGCTTGGCTACTTAAGAAGGAAGTTAAGAATTCACTACATTACTGTGGCTCCAGAGTCACATGTTGGCCAGAACAAGTAAAGATGGCAGATGATTTTATGATGATCGTTCAAACTAGTTTTCAGTTCCAGATTGTATTAATTAAGTTCAAATTCACCAGCTGCCATAGTGGTATTCTTCCTACCAAAGTGCATAACCTCACACTTGCCTCCATTGTATTCCATCTACCACTTCTCTGCCCATTCTCCTAGCCTGTTCAGGTCCTTCTGCAGCCTCCTATTTCCTCAACAGTATTTGTTCTTCCACCTATCTTTGTGTCATCTGTACCTCCACCTCATGAGCAGTTAAGGAAAGGGCAGCAGATGGTGGTTTTGCCCAGGAAAGAATTTTAAAAATCAGCACTTTACACTTTGTTCTTCCCTTGTCTGTTTGCAGCTGTGTGTGGGTAAGACAGTATTGGAATATATTTGTGCAATTTAACACATCGCTTCTTTAAATAAAAAAAGTCTTTTTTTGAAGTTGGGTAATGCATAAGGCTCATAGATTAGAAAGCAAACTAAGCAACAGACACAAATACAGTGTTCAAAATGCAGGTCCCTTTAACTGGAGATCAATCAGAAGATACCTGAATAGGTTGGATTATAGAATGACACACATCTGGGGCAGGTGGGATTTTGACTGCAGACCTTCTGGTCCCAAGATAGGGATGCTACCACTTCACCGCAAGAGCCCTCGAAGGTCAATTGTAATATATTTTCTAATCAGTCTGTTTGCAGATATTGTTATATATTTCTGAAGCAGATGTGATGTGAACAAAGGACTCAGGGTTTGGAGGTAAAGGCCACATAGTTTTGAATCAACCTGTTCAGAAACATTAGGACACATCTCTGAAGCAAGTAGGACTTGAACACAGGCCTCCTGGCTCAAAGGTTGGGGCATTGCCCCTGGACCACAAGAGCCCTTAGATCAACCAGAAACTATTTTTCTAAACAACCTGTTCAGTGATGGTATTGCACACCTCTGGAGCAGGTGGGACTTGAACCCAGATCTCTCGGTCTAGGGGTAGGGATACTACCACTGCAAAAAAAGAGCCCTTGGATCAACCAGAAAAGCTCCAGAGTTGATTGATGCTCATCAGAACTTGTATTTGAGCAGAGCCTCTTGTAGCACAGTGGTAATATCCCTTCCTCTGAACCAGAAGTCCCACCTCCTCTAGAGGTGTTTAATGACGTCTCTGAACAGACTAAATGTCTAAGAGATGAATTCAGTAGGTCTCTTATAGTGCTGTAATGTTGTCCCTATCTCTGACCCGGGAGACCTTGGAGTTCAGGTGGCACCTTGCTGAGATGGGGAAGGAGGTAGAAGTTTGCTGCTGCTTGGTCTGGAGCTACTGAAATCTATTGCTGCTTGGCTTGATCTGTTTGAAAGTAATTGCTGCTTGGACTAGGGAAGTTGGTATGCCTTGCTATCTGGACTAGAGCTTTTGGAAATCACTGCTTGGACCAATAACTGTTTGGTAGTCATTGTTAATTATACTAACAGGTATTAAGAAGCAACTGCTCTCTGGGCTGTGTCTGCTTGGAAAGAACTCCTGTTTGATTCTGAGTCACTCTACACACCTGGTTGGAGCTGTTTCTTTAAGGGTTAGGCAAAGCTCTCTTCATAATGGTGACTTCCATTTCCACACCAAAGTCACTGGCGGCAGCTGCACTTCCTTGGCCCCCACTGTCTTGGCGGTTCTGTCACCATTTCAGTTATTTACAAAAAGCCCCTACTCAGCCAGACATGAGCATCGAGATGTGGCCCAGGGCAGTGGCTGCCTTATTCGGCCTGTCTGCCGTTGTTGCCATGTTGAAAATGTATGGCCAAGCAGTTTTCTTTGAGCACGAATCAGGTGATGCACCTGGCCCTTGTGAAGGTGCTCACCATGAGTGGGACTTGCTGGCCGACCCTGTGGAGGCTTCCACAATGGGCTCTGTATTGTCAGTGACCTCCTTCTTCTCACATTTGCACCAGCTGAGAGAGGTGAAATCGGGGATTGCACTGATCCCACTAAATCTAAAGAAGTGCCTCCTTCACAATGTGTGTTCCTTCCTGGCATCAGGTTTTCATGAGCCTGGCCCTGGAGGAGATGACCAGTTATCCATGAGGGGGCTGCTTAGAAACAAAAAAAACTGCAGACGCTGGAATCCAGGTAGACAGACAAGAGGCTGGAAGAACACAGCAGGCCAGGCAGCATCTGGAGGAAAGGACTAGTCAATGTTTCGGGTATTACCCTTCTTCAGGACTGAAGGAATTCAGGGGACTGCATACAGCACCTCTAGGATGGCAGGTGGAGTATTGCAGTATTTGTGTTGGGAGGTAGAAAATGTCTGCAAGAATTACCCCATCTCTGAGACTGCCAAGACAACCCCAGCAACTCCCAGAGTCATCCCCTGTACCAGCCTATCCCCAACATCACTATCAGTACCTAGGACTCTACAAATGGGCCCTATGCTGGCAGGCACTGGGGTGAGAGTCCAAGCAGGAAGGAGGCACAGCACAAAACTACAGACCTGAAGGCGATGTCTGAACCCAGACCCAAGCTTTAAACAGCCTGAGACATTGGCAGCATTTCCTGAACTCGCCAGTCCCACAGACTAACCCCAGCCTTTCGTGTTTATGGAGAAGCTTGGGAGGCGGGAGGCAACAGGGTTGCAAGATCGGGGGAATGGATGGCATTCCCAACAAATGGACCTTTTTTATTTGAGGGTTTAGGAGGGAGTGGGATGCAGTTTGACAGGAAATCCTGAGTTCCAATTCCATCTGTTTTCCATGAAGGTTGCAATTCTTGGAAGCTCTGTTAGTCACTGACCACCTGCATTTCTTCTGCCAGTTTTTGCCCACTCACCTAATGTACTGCTTTCCCTATGCAGCTTTATTACCATCTGTACTACTTACGGTGCCAACTATCGTGCTGTTGTCCATATGGTCACAGTATGATCAGCTGATGGAAAGTTTTTTTTATAGTATAATGAGTGTCAGTTCTGAAAAAGGGTCACTCGACCTGAAACTTTATCTCTGCTTTCTCTCTGCAGGTACTGGCAGACTTGCTGAGTCTTTCCAGGAATTTTTTTTTGTTGTTAATGAGTGCCATGTTGTTCTGCTGAATGTTCCTTTACCTGGCAACTGCGCTGCTGTTTGCATCTGTAATTCTCATCAGATGTGTGCAGTGGGTATATACACAACCATACAGCTGTGGAAATTCTGCAATTTGTCCTTTGTTTTAGCTTCAGACAGTGGTGTCTTAGTTACTGTATCCTTGAGTGTAGCATCCAGCAATTTCTGGATTGGTGTGAATCAGTGAGGGAGGAGAGTAGTTTGTTTGAGTAATAGTGACAAGGAATTTCCAATTTTTTTTCATCTTCCAGTGGGATAACTAGCTTATACGTTCATTTCTATGACTCCTCTCCAAGGAGAAATGAATTGCCAACAGAGTTCAGAGCTATTTGTTTGAGCTCCTGACTTAACCAGCACTGATCTAAATATGTATAAAATATATATTTAAGGTACTTCTATTTTAAAATTGAGTAATGCGGCTGTTACTTTTCACCAGTAGTTCAAGAAATTGAAACATTTTTCTGCTCAAACTTAGGTGGAATTTGACTTCCTGTGGGACAAGTGTAGCAAGCTCTGAATGCAGTGAGGAACTCTTCTCGTCTGTTTCATGTGGTGATCAGGAAGACTGCTATTCCCTGCTGGATGATCAGGAATTCACTCAGAATGCATCCTTTGACCTCTTTCCAGAGGGTAGTGTCTGTAGTGACGTATCTTCTTCAATCAGTACCTATTGGGATTGGTCAGACAGTGAGTTCGAATGGCAGGTGAGCCAGAACGATTTTTTTTTGCCTGCAGTTGTAGAATTGAATATTCATACAGCTCGGAAAGTAGCCTTTAGCCTCTTTGCATCAGTGCTTTCTGAAGGAGTTAGCCAGAACTATTTCCTTTTCATGGTTCTATTAAGTCTGTTTTGAGCACTCATTCAAGCAAAGCATCATGATATCTGAATATATCTCAAATTTAGAAGAGATTAAGTACAAATTTGCTAAAGTGATCTCAAGAATTTGAAGTTATGAAGAAAGAAAATTTTGCAGAGCATGGAGGTCTGTTAGATTTTTTTCTTTTTGGTTTAGAGGGAGTAGATAGTGAAAGCATTCTTGAATTTGTTGGTAAATCAGCAGTTAAGACATAAACTAACAATATCTAATAAACTCACCACCGGGAGAAAGCAGCAGACTGGTTTCACGCTCACATGGTATATGAATTGGTGCTGCATTATTTAATCCACTGTTTCTAAAATGACTGACTCACTGCCTACCTCTCTCTGTTGGATGCAAAAACTCAGCAAAGCAGGAGTTCTCCCAATATTTTGACCAATGTTTATCACTCAGTAGCCATCAAAACCAGATTATCTGGGTGCTGACTTATTGTCGTTTGTGAAATCTTGCTGTGCTCAAGTTTGCAGGGAAACACTTTGAGACATGCTCTGATCATTCATTATGGTAGGTACTTTTTCCATCCCTTAAGATGGATTTGGATGAGAATTTGAAAATAAAGAATATCAGTGAGAAGAAGAAATTTGGTCGTGTGTTGAAAAGCTAACAGTGCATACTTGAAACCATTTGCATTGTGATTCCTTTCATTCTATGCCAATATTTTCATGGAGGTATGACTTTGCGTTTAATGTTTTCAAGCAGAAAACTGGTTTCTTGTGAGATTTAAAAGAATGAGTGTCCCAGAGTCAATACTGTATAAACAGTCCAATTCATCTGAAGCATCTTTTCCTTACTCCTGTTTTCAAATGTAGGTTTGATTCAAATTTGTTTTCAAGTCAGATTCAAACAGCATGAAAACAGACCCTACGGTCTAACTCCACCTCGCCGACCAGGTACCCCAATCTGACCTAGTCTCATTTGCCAGCATTTGGCCCATATCCCTCTTAAACCTTTCTTATTCATGTCCAAATCCAGATGCCTTTTAAATATTGCAGTTGTACCAGCCTCCACCACTTCCTCTGGCAGCTTGTTCCATACACACACCACACTCTGCTTGAAAAAAGTTGTCCATTTCATATCTTTCACCTCTCACCTGAAACATATGCCCTCTAGTTTTGTGCTCCCTTACCCTAAGAAAGAAACCTTGGCTATTCACCATATCCATGCCCCTCATGACTTTATAAACCTCTATAAGGTCACGTCTTCATGCTCCATATCCAGAATAAGTCAATTACTGCCAATTTTCCTCGTGCAAATTTGGGCTTAGGAATGTGTGATTAATGTATTTTTTTCCATAAAAGATTAAACAAATAAGAATATTGAATTCTTAACTAAACTCTCCACATTCATGACGAGTTTTATTGCGTGAGCAGCCTAGATCAACAAGGTCCAAGATACAATCCCAGATCTGTTGAGATCAGGTTGTTTTTAAATATAAATTGTTGCTTCTGTTGAAATTTGTTATTCTTGCATCTGTCCTGGTGAGTGCAAGATGAAAAGCTTCAACAGCTCATCTCTTTGACTTTCCAACAATAGTCAGTTGCTTATTAGAACAAGAATTTCAGGTTACTTTGTAGTGTGGATTGGCAGATGTCTTGCTGCCAACGTCCGTCATGTACAAAAAGCTAACACATGTTTTTGTGGATATTTTTGCCCTCGTTCTCTCTCCACTTAAAATAACCTATTAAATGAACTGCTGGCAACCTGCGATCCTGCAGTGGTCCTTGATTTGGAGCAGTGCTTGCCAGCCCGTCTCAGATCATGTTTGCTGCCTGGACACCCTGGATTAGCAAGAGAACATCATTCAGACTTCCAGCTACTGGCTTCTGCTTAAAATTCCTGCTGGAAGATACACATCTCATTTAGTGCTGCAAAGCTCCCTCGGTGGAATAGCTGGCTGACTTTACTGTCAAAGGTTGTCAGCAATGTAGCAATAGCAATCAGTACCTTCAAAAGATGGATGGGGAGTGTGGGGTTGTTGTTATGCAGTCTCTTTAAAAAGTAAGTGAGTGTTAAAGCAAATTGTCAGTGTCCTGTGACTATGAAATTATTTATTGAGCATGTTCCTGTACATTGCCACCTTAGCCTTGCCTTACTGACTTGGAAAATTGAAAGGTTTCAAAAGTTCTTTTCACCGTATGCACAATCCATAGTTTTGTCTTAAGTAGAGTTTGCACTTCCTGAGATTGTATATTCAACTTAAATGCTGACACTATTCTGAATCATAAACATAAAAAGTGACAAGTCTTGACTCTAGGTTTTGGTGTATCATTTTCTATAACTATTTCATATTAATTTGATCTTGAGGTTTTTTGTTTCCTTTCAAAGCTGCCTGGCAGTGATTTTGCAAGTGGAAGTGATGTCTTGTCTGATGTGGTTCCTAGCATTCCAAGTTCTTGCCCTGTTTTAAAGCGAAGAAGCAAACAACACAGAAGTTTAGATGAGCTTCCTTGGAGTGCAATGTCTAATGATGAGCAGGTATTTCTGAGGGAGGGGTGGTTGATCTTAATTTTAAAGTTTATTGTTTAATGTGGAGATTACTTGGTTATATGCTAAATTGACCCAGCTGTACTTCATTGGATGAGAACAGCGAATTCCACTTTATAAAAATACTGGATCAGAAATATATAAAGTATAACAATAGAAGATATGTATTTAATATTTTATTTTCTGTGTGAATATCACAAGTGCAGTAATGTAATCTGATTTTCTTAAAGTACTACTTTTAAAATTAATACAAACCGAATTCAAACACCTTTCTCATGCAAATATTGTAATTTTTGTTCAGTTAGTGGTGCAGTTTCCAAAAGTGTTACGAATTGTGACTTTTCAAATCAAAACTATTACTGAGGCCGACCTGAATGGTGCCCAGAAAAAGCTGAACTAATTAAGTCTGAAAGTTGCATGACTTTCAAGAGCAAGCAAGCTCCCCCAGTGTACTGGCCAGCATTTCATCCCATGATTTAAATCTCAAATTATTTGATCATCAGTTTATTACTGTTTACAAATTGTTTGCTGTGTTCCCTACGTTATAGCAGTCACTGGTCTTCTAACGTACTTCATGGGAAGCCCTGGGGTCATGAAAGAGACTATAGAAATGATTTATCTTGTTGTATATGAAAGCTCAGCAGAGATCAACAGTTCTTCCATGTTGTATAAATGAATCCAATGACTAAGAAGCTGGTATCATTGACAGGCCAGTGGGTCTGCATATCTAAATTATTTGATTTTTCCTTTCTTGTGCCTTTATCCTCCACCATGTGACCCAACAATATAATTAGGAGAGACTGTGTGTACTGAAATATTAATATTAATGAAATACTTGTCAGATAGTTTATTGTGGGAGCAGAAATAGGCCATCCGGTTCATCAACTTTGCTCCACATTTGATGATTTCATGGCTGATCTGATTATCCTCAACTGCACTTTCCTGTCTTATTCCCATCACCCTTAGTTCCCTTAATACTCAGAATTCTGTCTATCCCAGCCTTGGATACACTTAGCAACCCTGTTTCCGTACCCTCTGTGGTAAAGAATTCCACAGCTTCACTACCCTCTTGAGAGAAGAAATTCCTCTCATGTCTCATAATCCCTGACTCTGAACTTATGCCCCATGGTCCCACACTCTCCCACAAGGTGAAACTGCTTTCTGCATCTATCTTGTCAAGCCCACTAAGCATCTTATATATTTCAATAATGTCAACTTTCATTCTCCTAAACTCCAATGGATATAGACCTAACCTACTCCATCTTTCCTCATAAGACAGTCCCTCCATACTTGGATCAACCCAGTGAACCTTCTGTGCACTGCCTTCAAGGCCAGTATATCAGTCCTTAGGTAAAGGGACCAAAATTGTTCACAGGTGTGGTGCGACCAGTGCGTTATATTTTTTCAGCACGTTTTCTCAGTTTTCATACTCGATTTGTTTGAAAGAAGGGTAAAGGCAACATTCCATTTGCTTGTTGCTTGCTGAGCTTGTATGCTAGCTTTTCATAATACATGAACGTGGACCCCCAAATTCCTCCTCGCTTCAGCTTTCTAATGACTTTCTCCTTTTAAATAATATTCAGCTCCTGTATTCTTCCTGCCAAAGGGCATACTTTACATTTTCCCATTATATTCCATCTGCCAAGGTTTTACCCATTTGCTTAAGCTGTCTATATCCTTCTGCACTCATGCATCATCCTCACCAATTGCCTTTTTGTGTGATAGTGCATTCACTTCGCTCAACTAAGTCATTAATATATATTGTAAATAATTGTAGCTATTTTCTATCTGCTTTTTAACTTCCACTTTTTGTAGGGATTTGTGTGTGCTGTTTGTTTATGTGTAGAATTTAGCTTCTTACTGCTCCAGTTCAAGTTCAAATTCCTGCAATATCCTGCTTACAACTATGTACATTTTGCCATTCTACTGACCGGTGCAATATTGTATAGAATGTCTTAAAATGCTTTAATAGGAATGTTACACAAGTTAAACATTGCACCAGTTCTGGAGCTAAACGTTGATTGTGAACGTTATTTGCTATTTATCAACTTCAGTTTCTTGCCTATTTTCATTAATTCGGGCATTGCTCAAACAATGATAAATGTTGTATTCAGAAATCAGACAGTTCCCAGAACTGATTTTAAATTCAAAAACATGACTACAAAGAGAAGAAAGTAAATCATAAAAATGAAATTTGTCACTACATGACTGAATGCAAATAGAGCATGTATTGAACAATTTATCTTAATTGCGAGTGATTGTAAATGTTTACCTGCTTATCATTTCTGCTCGTTTTAGGTTGAATATATTGAATACCTGAGTCGTAAAGTCAGTACAGAAATGGGTCTGCGGGAACAGCTGGACATTATCAAAATTATTGATCCAAATGCTCAGATTTCCCCTACAGACAGTGAATTTATAATTGAGCTGAACTGTCTAACAGATGAAAAGCTAAAACAGGTAACTATGAAGATCAAATTTAAGTGTATTTAATGAAAGCCATAAGTGTATATCCCTGTCAGGATTAATGCACTTGTGGATGCTGGGTTTTTTTATTTCTCTATAAAGGTAACAATCTACTTTTATTTCATTTGTTTTCTCTGGTTCTTTTATTCGATTCTGTAATACAAGTTTAAGTTTCATGGGGTTGTAGCCAATATTGTCCTTGTGCTTGCAATTTACAATTAAACTTTCTATTAGCAAGTGAATGTTAATTGTACATCACAGTTTGCAGTTATATCCAATTAGAGCCATAGAGTCATACAGTATGGAAACAGACCTTTTGGTCTAACCGGTCCACACTGATCATGTTCCCAAACTGGGCTAGTCCCACCTGCCTGCACTTGGCCTGTATCCCTCCAAACTTCCTATTCATGAACTTATCCAAATGTCTTTTAAACATTGTAACTGTACCTGTATCCACCACTTTCTCTGGCAGTTCATTCCACACACAATCCACTGTCTATGTAAAAAATGTTGCCCCTCATGTCCTTTTTAAATCTTTCTCCTCTCTTCTTCAAAATATGCCCCCTAGTTTTGAACTCCCCCACCCTAAAGTAAAGACCCTTGTCATTCACCTTTTCTATGCTCCTCATGATTTTATAAATGTCATTAAGACCACCCCTCAACCTCCTGTGCTCCAAAGGCAAAATGTCCCAGCCTACAACAGCTTGTCCTTATAATTTAAACCCTCCATTCCCGGCAATATTCTGGTAAATCTTTTCTGAACCCTCTCTGGTTTAATAATATTCTTCCTATAAATTATGTACATGACCCCTTAGGTCTCTCTGTTCTGAAACACTACCCAAGGCCCTACCATTAATTGTATAACTCCTGTCCTTATTTGTATTACCAAAATGCCTCTCATTTATCTAAATCAAACTCCATCTGTTGCTCCTCAGCACATTGACCTAATTGATCAAGATCTCTTTGTAATCTTAGATAATCTTCTTCACTGTCCACTATACTATAAATTTTGGTGTCCTCTGCAAACTTACTAACCAAGCCTCCTATATTCTCATCCAAATCATTTACATAAATGACAAACAAAAGTAGACCCAGTAACGATCCCTGCTGGTCACAAGCCTCCAGTCCAAAAGACAACCCTCCACTGCCATCGTCTGTCTCCTACCATAAAGCCAATTTTTTACCCAGTTGGCATGTTAAACAGTTGTATTAATGATGGAGCAATTGCAGTAATCTAAGTTTTATGTAAACCTTTGGAGGAGTGTTTGAAAATGTCACCTAGTACCTTGTATTGTTTTAACAAGCCTTCCCTATTTTTACAATCCATTGCCTTTGAAATAAAGATGCATTTTGGGGTCTTTCCATTTGCTTTTCTATTACCTGCTGAACTTGTGTACTAATTATTTATGATTCATGCACAAGGCCCCTAAATCACTCTGTGCTGCGGCCTTCTGCAGTCTTTCCCTATTTAAATAATATTCAGCTTCCCTGTTATTTCTGCTACATTGCATAACCTTACATTTTCCCATATTATTATCCATCTGTCAAGTTTTCCCCACCTGTCTGTATTCCTTTGCAGATACTGTATCAGCCCTACCACTTTCCATCTATTTTTGTCATCTGCAAACTTGATCACTTGCCTCAACCAGATCATTAATTTGTATTGTAAATAATTTTAATTGTTACAGAATATAGAATAGAATCCCTACAGTGTGGAGACAGGCCCTTTGGCCCAACAAGTCCACACCGACCCTCAGAGCATCCCACCCAAACCCATCCCTATAACTCACCTAATCTACACATCCCTGAACACTACGGGCAATTTAGCATGGCCAATTCACCTAGCCTGCACATCTATGGACAGTGGGAGGAAGCCGGAGCACCTGGAGGAAATCCATGCAGACACGAGGAGAATGTGCAAACTCCACACAGACAGTCACCCGAGGATGGCATCAAACCCAGGTCCTTGGTGCTGTGAGGCAGCAGTGCTAACCACGAAGCGACCGTGCCGCCCCAGATTTGTTTTTGAACTACCCCTTTTTGTAAAGGTTTGTGGGTGCTGTGTTTGTTGGTAGAATTAAGTTTCTTATTACTGCAGCTCCAGTTCAAATTCCTGCAATTTTCTGCTTACAAATTTGTGAAGTCTGCCATTCTACCGACAATTGCAGTATTTTCTAGCATACCTCAAAAACATTTAATAGCAGCATTGCACAAGTTAAACATTGCTATAGCACTGATTTAACTGGACCACTTTCATCTGAAACTGAAGTAAAAACAGAGAATATTTATGATTGTCTTAAACAGGGTGCTGCACAAAGTAGAACAATGCCATTGTTCAACAATCCTTGTACTGTTCCCACAACCATTGTTACATTAGGCGCAATGGAGTTGCTATGACAAAAGACCAGGGTCCAACTTGTCCACGTTATACCACCCTGAAGGTTGTATAACAATGATTATGGATGTATTCTGCAGAATTAGATGTTTATGTATAATATAAGCATTTTAGAAAACATTAACTATAATTCAACGACATATGGACGCACAAGCTGATCAGAATTACGTTAGAAAGCACTCATTACAAAACACTATCCTAGAATGAAGTTATCTGTTCTCAAATTGCAGGCTGCTGGACAAGAGTCTGGTGGCGTTGTGCCTTCTAATTGTCTAGTGCTTTTAGGAGAATACACTGGTATGTTCAGTTGTTGCTGCAAATGCGTGTGCACTCTGGTTGATGCTTGTTTAAGAATTTAAGCAGTTTTTGTTCTCTTTCTCCAGAGCATTTGGGCAGGTGATTAAACTCTACCTGTGCAACCTGATGGTTCAAAACTCTATCTGTATCAAAGTTGCAAGAACAAAACTTGTATTCCCCCATTGGTGGAGCACTTTAAGTTGGTGGAATGGAGGTGGCACTGGTGTAGAGGGGCAGGACCTGTGTTTTTGGGGGTTTATTGGGAGTTTGTAGAGCAGTTTGTAACTTGTGAGAACCTGCAGGAAGGGACTCAGTGTTATTTGTTCTGGAGCTGAATCTCAACAGTTCAAGTTGATATACGTTATAGTATTTCACTGTAATTTATTGAAAATATTTTGTTTTGTAGAGATTTTTAAGCTGAAAGCTATAGAGCATTTCCACCATGATTTGAAAAGAAATTGATCTAGAAATTTGTGGCACTGCTATCCCTATCTGGGCTAGCATTTATTGCCCATCCCTAATTGCCCTGAATAAGGTGATAGTGAGTCACTTGAACCACTGCAGGCTTTGGAGTGCAGGTAAATACACAGTGTTGTTAGGAAGGGAGTTTCAACATTTTAACCTTGTGACGATGAAGGAATGGCAATGTAGCTCCAAGTTGGGGTGGTGTGCAACATGGAGGGGAATTTGCAGGTGGTGGTGTTCCCATGCATCTGTTGTGGTTTAGCATGTGATGCAGACAAAAAGCACTTCCATTCAATTGATGTTTTGCTGAGCTAACAGTGATGGAAAACGCTGCTTCGAAAGTGAAGCTGCAAATCAGCAGAAAAGTTAAGTTGAAAGCTTAGACACCTTAAATGTAAACACTGACTTTTGTGTAATCAACAATGTATCTGAATGACCTGGCAATAACAATGTGCTTTGTGTTTAAGGTGAGAGGGGGAAAGTTTTTTTTACGCAGAGTATGGTAGGAGTCTGGAATGGGCTGCCAGGGAGGTGGTGGGGGCAGATACTTCAGGTGGGTTTAAGGGACTTTTAGATAAGCACATGATTATACAAGGAATGGATGGTATGGACCAAGGGCAGGCAGAAAGAATTAGTTTAATTTGGCGTCATGTTTGGCATATAATCATGGGCCGAAAGGCCCATTCCTGTGTTGTACTTTTCTATGTTCCATTCCTATAATACTAAAATGAAATGTACCATTTTAGCGGAAATGTATTTCTTTGTTTATACATCACTGGTATTTGAAATGCTGTCTGTAAAATATACATATACATCAAAAGAATTTGTGTCTTGATTCTTTACTTGCACAACAGTTATTATGTGAAACCTTTGAAATGTGAGTAGTTTGGCGATGTTCAAAATAGAAGCTATTGTTTTGTTTTAGAAGCCGCAGCAGATGGTTAAAATAAGTGTAAATTCTGTTTGTGACCATGATAATAAATGACCTGTTCCAATTAATGGATTGTATCCCGTTCAGGTAAGAAATTACATCAAAGAGCATGGTGCCCGCCAGCGCTCTGTACGTGAAAGCTGGAGAAGAGGTAGTTATACTGGCTGTGGGGTCAGCGGTTTGAGTGGAGCCAGTAGTAGCAGTGGCAGCATGGTAAGCTCAGCCAGCAGCACTGGATCCAGTGGTTGTAACTCTGCATCTGCTTCAAGTGCCAACATGAGCCGAGCGCACAGCGACAGTAACCTGTCCACAAGTGCAGCTGAGAGAATAAGAGACTCAAAGGTATGGGGTTCATTAATTCCAAACCATCATTTTTACAAGTTTAAATGTTGCTCATGGGTCACCTGTGCTTTTGATTTTCATTGGTGCTGTATGTAATCCAGTTTGTCTTTTTGTATCGGTGTAAAGATGAGTGCATTGTACAGAACTGTGCAGTTTCTGACACTAAATTCTGGCCGAATAAATTTAACGTTTCACTGCCTTTCTTGCATATCCATACGTTGGGAAAAATTGTAAGCGATCCCAAGTCTTTGTTTAAAAAATATATTTGTACTGCAATATTGCTAAATAGATAATTGTTTAAAAACTGGACTTTTGTCACTGAGTTAAAATGATGACTGTGAGCAAGTTGGGAAAAACATGCAAATGTTCCCACAGGTTCTTTCTCCCTGATTGCACAAGTAATGCAGTGAAGATCCATCAGGAAAGCTGCTGCGAAATTTGTTTCATCAGAAAAATCTGAATCAACACCCTTCTTCCTTTGGCACCGAACTCAAACGTGTGCCAATATCACGAAAATCAAAGCACTGCACTTTTGAGTAGCAGGAGCATATCATGATCTCCTTCGGATGGAGAAATCAGATTTGTTTATCAGTTTATTTCAGAAGAAGAATACATGGGGTTTGTACTCTCCAAAAGTGAGAGTTGTGTGGTGCGACATGGAAGAAGTGGTTAAGAACAGCATGTTTTCTGAGCTTTGTCCGTCACATTGGACTATCGAGTTTTACCTGCCGCGCACGGGAGCAAGTTGATCAATGAGATACTCTGCTTTTTATTACCTTAACTCTGTGGCTTAAATAGCTGACTACCTGTTTTATTAAAAAAAAGGATGAATGTGGTGAGACGACTCGTACCTTTCTTCCTACCTTTTCTCAATCCAATCCTTCCCAATTGTTCAACAGAAGCGATCCAAGCAGCGTAAGCTGCAACAGAAAGCCATGCGGAAGCGTCAGTTGAAAGAGCAGCGACAAGCAAGGAAAGAAAGACTGAGTGGCTTATTTCTAAATGAGGAAGTGCTCTCTGTGAAAGTGGCAGAAGAAGACCATGAAGCAGATGTGGACATCTTAATGTGACCAAGTGTAAAATAGCATTGTATGTTGAATTTAAAAGATAATCCATTATAACACTAGCCAGCCGCAAGACTGGAACTGAAAGCTTGAGATAAAGAGGGATGATTTCCGTTTACAACTTAACATTCTATACCTTATTTCGTGTTTTTAAGACATCTCAGTAATTTTATTGAAGCTGCTGAACACTGATTTGTACAGAAAACTAATGTAGCCAATAACGTATCTGAATGACCTGGCAACAACAATGTGCTTTTGAAACTATATATACTCCCATAGCACTATTTTAGTGGAAATATATTTCATTATTTGTGCATCACTGTGGTATTTGAAATATTGCCTGTGAAATATACATGTGTATTAAGATAATTCATGTTTTGATTCTTTACTTGCAAAATAGTTATTATGTGAAATTTTTGGATAGTTTGGCAATGTTCAATAATTGTTGCCACCAGTGGAGTAATTACCTGCCATTACCAAATTGCATGATTAGCTCAGTCAGCTTTTGACATTTTTATTGAATGATGCATTTATCCATATATGGGTCCTGGTGTATGCAAAGGCTATGGCATAGAAATTCCTTACAAGTCCAATGATATTTTTCAGAGTAGACTTAATGGAGAAGAAAAGTCTAATAGGAATATTTATATTATTGAAAATACCCCTCTCACCTCATGCTTATAGAGGGGGAAAATATAATAGTTGGAACAAAATTTTGTTTACAAAGTCTCATTTCCTTTTGACACAAGACTTTCAAAGTCAAGTTTCCCACCAAGCAGACCACTTGTGATATTGTCACTGGGGATAATCTGAAGAGGTTCTGTTGAAGATCCAGGCCTTCCTCTTGGCCTGATGTCTGTTTCACAGCTGTGGTATTCATTCTTCATCGTTGACGGGAGTTGGGCTGAAAGTTCCTCACAGCCTGCTTCCCAGTATTACTTGAGCTCTGCAGCGAGAGAAGATCAGTTGGAAGTTATAACTCCAGTGAACCACCACTACATGTGTGGAATGTAACCATACATGCTGAGAATGGAGACCAAAGTGAGATGGGTCCCACCTTCCAAGACAATGTCAACATTTTTTTTTTAAATGAGAAAGTCTTTAATTTGCCATGAAGATCACTCCCTTTCCTCTAACATTGCTATCTGGCAGCGTCTGTGGAGGGAAAACAGTTAACCTTTTGACTCCAATGACTTAGTCTAACCCCTTTCCCCTGAACCAACCCCCTCTCCCATGTCTCCCTGGACCCCAGATTTCCTTTTCTTTGCCGCAACAATGCTACGTATGCTGTACAGTAAAAGGGGAAATAGCTGAATAATATGCTGTGTGCAATATTTACTGTAAATCTGGTAGGTCAGTAGATTTCATGCAGAGCAAAAGAGAGGAATTGTAAAGTAGGTTAATATAAAATGAAGACCTGTGGAACCTGGAGATCTGAAACAAAAGGTGCTGGAGAAGCTCAACATGTCTTGCACCATTTGCGGAGAGGAAATGCATTTTGAGTCTAGTGACTAGAGTTTCTCCAGCACTTTCTGTTTCTGTAGGTTATTGCGTTCTTAACAACGTGAAGGAAAAGTGTCAAAACAAGTGTTTTGCATCTAATATTAAGCACAAGGGAATCAATTATTTTTGCACACCTTCATGTGTAAAGGAAAAATGATGGAGAAGCATTAATAGATCACATCAGATTTCAATTCAAAAAAAGATAATTGCTGTGCTCCAAAGAGCAGACGTTGGTGGCCTTTTTCCAAGTTACACTGTTGTTGAAACCTTGCGGCCTTGTTGCTTCTGGTTCAGTTGTAACTGATTACCTTTTGTATGTAAAAAAAAATGACTTGGCAATGTGTTGAATGTTTTAGATGAGAAAGATAAAACAAAACCCTTTTGTTTTGCACATGGATTTGTCTGTGCTGGAATTTCTCATCTAGATGTATGGGAAATTAATTATCCCTAACGGTGGAGTTATTTTTTGCTTGTTTTGAAGAGTTGGCTAATTTAATGTTTTCTTTGAACAGTTCTGAAGGTGAAGCTTGGGACATGAATTGTGTGTAAAATCTCTGTGTGAGAGAGAGTAATCTGATAATTTGAAAATAATAATTTGCATATCAGAGTAGAATTATTTCCACTCACAGCTCTATCAGAAGAACCGACAATTATGTCGGTAGGTGCCGCACTATGGCTGATGTTAACCCATGAGATATATTCATGAGGCTGGTGTCTTCAGGGAGCATTGGATATGAAAGTTTTGCTCCCAGCCTCAAGCACAATAGTGTGTATCAAAGTTACTTTGTCCAGTAGCAGGAATAATGCGTGTTCTGACTTGTGGGATTGCGTTTTAAAAGCCAAACCAGTACTACTTGAATACTGCTGGAAATGAGAAACATTTTGGCAAAGCTTTGTATCTTGCACTCATCAGGACAGAAGCAAGAATACCAATTCTCAGTGGCAACTACAATCTATAATGCTCAAGTGGTTGATAAGGAATCCACTTTGTTGACTAACCATGCTGTGCAGTCTAAAATGTTGTTCCTTTTTGAAATTTGGCAATCTTCTGTCTTGAGTGCAAGTTGAAAATCTTCAGCATGTTTCTTTTCTTTAGGCAGTACTTAGGCTCTGCACCACCAATTAACTACTTGAATACTGCATAATCGTTGTTGTAAAAGTCATGTCTTGTGGTATAAAATATATTGGCATGAAACTTCCATCTTGCAGGGCTGTACATAAGTTTGCCACTTGATATTTTAGTGTAATTTTTGTCACCCTATTGAATATACGAAGATGTGAAAATAGTGGCAATGACTGATTTCTGTAGCACTGTGTAACAGTGGGTCATTCCATTTTACTATATCTGCTGCTATGTCTGTTCAGAATTGTACAGTGATCATAGTCTTTAAAAAAATGCAGGTTTTGGATTTATTTTTTGCATAGCAGAATCTTTTATGAATTCTGCAGGTTGCTGTTTTCTATTGGAGTATATTAAAATTATTTACGTCAATAAAGGCCGTTGTTTGTTATTCATTATTTCAAAGAAATTTAAGGCATATCAGTGTTTGAATTAAAGCCAAGAAAGTGCAACTGTAATGATAAAGATGACCTTAAGCAGTTTATTGATCATATCTGATTTGAAACTGATGAAAAATGTTCTGTCAAAGTGTTCTGTCTGGGTGGTGGTATACAAAGACAAAACCCCGTGAATGTTGGAGATTTGAAAGTACTGGAGAAACTCGGCTCGGGCAGCATCTGTGCAGAGCAACTGTCTCCCTGTCTCTCTACAGATGCTGTCACACCTGGATGGTGTGATACTTGAGATCTGAGATTAGTTTGAATGATAAAAATTGATTTTTTTTTTAAAACAATAATTTGCAAGTGGTAACTGTGATGCATCCCGAACCATCACTGGAACTAATTTAAACCTAAGAGTTTAGATCTTTGTGAGCCCCAGTGTTTAGCAGCTTGATTCCCCAATTTTAACTGCTCCATCAGTGGAGTCCAAGTATTAATCAGCCTTAACTCTGAGCTTTTGAACTGGGTCCCTAAGCCTCTGTCTGTACCTCTCTCTTCCCTCCTTTTAAGTTGCACCTTCAAACCTACTGCTTTTCAACAAGCTTTGGGCCATCTCCTTTGTGTCCTTCAGTGGCTTGGTGTCAGCTTTTCACTGGCAACGCACTTGTGAAGTGTCTTGAAATGTTTTGCTATGTTAAATATGCAAATTATTTTTCCCCAGAACAGCAAAGAACAGTACAGCACAGAAACATTTAGCCCTCCAAGTCTGTGCTGACACATTTTGCTCTTCCATGCTAAAACTGTCTTTAGTTGCAGGATCCGTATCCCTCTCTTCCCTCCCTGTTGATGTATTCATCCAGGTGTTTCTTCAATGCTGCTGTTGTGTCTGCTTCCACCACCACCTCTGGCAGCACGTTCTGGGCACCCAACACCCTTTGTGTGTAAAACTTGCTTTGCACATCTTCTTTAAACTCTACCACTCCTCCATATCGAACCTGTGTCCTGTAGCAATTGACCGGTCCATCCTGGGGGAAAAAATCTCATACTTTCCACTCTGTCCACTTTACAATCTTTTAAACTTCTATCAGCTCGCCCCGATACACAGTTCTCTATGTTAAAATAAGTTAGTATTCTACATAAATAGTGCATACGGTGATGTTTATTTATAAAACGTTTTCTGGCAAAACACTGAAGCTGAGATTTTAGTGACGTGATTTGTTTATTTACAAACAGGCAATTAAAAAGTTTAAAGTGAATGCTTTCCAAAAAAAAAACTTTCAAATTTTGCGAAGTAATTTGTGAGGAATTAGAGATTGATAGACTGAAACAAGAGTTATTCCTTGAAATTTTATAAGCTAATTTACATTTTATAAAACATGGTAGACATAAATTACAGTATTGGTGTCAACAGTAGTTACAGGAAATTAGGAATTTACAGTATCTAGGGAGTGTGATGGATGGCAGCTGAAGAGTGAGAGGTAAACTGAAGATAAGTCAGGTAGATGGGTGACCTCCGCGAAAGGTAGGAGAGGGAGGCAGGTCATGCAGGAGTCTCCTGGTAAGGCAGATAAACTCAGGGCATGGTTAGGAATATGGGACTGGGATAACAGCAATTACAGAGAAGTGGCTTAGTCATGGACAGGGTTGGCAGCTTAATATTTCAGGATATAGATGCTATTGGAAGGATTGAAAGGGGGTGGGGGTGAGGTTGTGGCGTTTTTGATTAGGGATAACATTATGGCTGTATTTAGGATATTCCTGGGAATATGTCCAGGCAAGTTATTTGGGTGGAACTGAGAAATAAGAAAGGTATGACCACCGTATTGGGATTGTACTATAGACCCCTAAATGGTCAGCGGGAAATTGAGAAACCAATTTGTAAGGAGATCTTGGTTATCTGTAAGAATAATAGGGTGCTTATGGTAGGGTATTTTAACTTTCCAGGCATGGACTGGGCCTGCCATAGCGTTAAGGGCTTGGATGGAGAGGAATTTAAGTGTGTACAAGAAAATTTTCTGATTCAGTATGTGGATTACCTACTAGAGAAGGTGCAAAACTTGACCTACTCGAGACATAAGGCAGGGCTGGTGACTGAGGGGTCAGTGGGAGAGCACTTTGGGGCCAGTGACCATAATTCTATTAGTTTGAAAATAATGATGGAGAAGGATAGACTGGAACTAAAAGTTAAAGTTCTAAATTGGAGGAAGGCCAATTGTGACGGTATTAAGCAAGAACTTTCAAAAGTTGCTTGGGGGTGAATGTTCGTAGGGGACAGCTGGAAAATAGGAAACCTTCAAAAATGAGATAACAGAAGTCCCTAGAACTCTGTGGGAAGGTAGGGAAGTGATTGCTGAGCGCATTGCTGAGACATTTGTATCACCGATAGTCACGGGTGAGGTGCCGGAAGACTGGAGATGGGTTAATATGGTGCCACTATTTAAGAAAGGTGGTAAGATCAAGCCAGGGAACTATAGACAGGTGAGCCTGACATTGGTGATGGGCAAGTTGTTGGAGGGAATCTTAAGGGACAAGATTTACATGTATTTGGAAAGGCAAAAACTGATTATGGATAGTCAGCATAGCTTTGTGCATGGAGATTGTTTCTCACACACTTGATTGAGTTTTTTGAAGAAGTAACAAAGAGGATTGATAAGGACAGAGCAGTGGATGTGATCTATATGGACTTCAGTAAGGCGGTTGACAAGGCTTCTCGGTAGACTAGCAACGTTAGATCACACAAATTGGAGGGAGAGCTAACTATTTGGAGGGAGGCAATAGCCTAGTGGTATTATCCCTGGACTGTTACTCCAGAGACCCAGATAATGTTTGCAGATGCTGGAGAATCTGAGACAACAAGGTGTAGAGTTGAATGAACACAGCAGGCCGAGCAGGAAAGCTCGAGGCCCGAAACGTCAGCTTTCCTGCTCCTCTGATGCTGCTTGGCCTGCTGTGTTCATCCAGCTGTACACCTTGTTGTCTCTAATGTTTTGGGGAACTGGGTTCGAATCCTACAATGGCAGATGGTGGAATTTGAATTCAATAACAATAAATGGAATTAAGAGTCTAATGATGACCATGAATCCATTGTCGATTGTTGTAAAAACCCATCTGGTTCACTAATGTCCTTTAGGGAAGGAAACTGCCATCCTTACCTGGTCTGGCCTACACGTGACTCCAGACCCACAGCAATGTGGTTGACTCTTAAGTGCCCTCTGGGCAATTAGGGATGAACTACCTAGCCGGCGATGCCCTCATCCCATTAATGCATAAAATAAAGAGGTACAGAACTGGGACAAAGGTAGAAGACAGAGAGGGGAGGTAGGGAGTTGCTTTTCAGACTGGAGGCCTGTGACTAGTGGTGTGCCACAAGAATCGGTGCTGGGTCCACTGCTTTTCGTCATTTATATAAATGATTTGGATGTGAACTTAGGAGATATGGTCAGTAAATTTGCAGATGACGCCAAAATTGGAGGTATTGTGGACAGTGAAGGAGGTTACCTCAAGAGTGCAACAGGATCCTGATCAGAAAGGCCAATGGACCAAAGAGTGGCGATTGGAGTTAAATTTGCATGCTGCATTTTGGAAAGGCAAATCAAGACAGGACTTATACACTTAATGGTAAGGTCCTGGGGAGTGTTGCTGAACTAAGAGACCTCAGGTTCATAGTTCCTTGAAAGTGGAGTCATGAGTAGACAGGGTAGTGAAGAAGGTGTTTGATATGCTTGCCTTTATTGGTCAGTGCATTGAGTATAGGATTTGGGTGGTCATGTTGCAGCTGTACAGGACATTGGTTAGGCCACGATTGAAATACTGCATGCAATTCTGATCTCCCTGCTTTTGGAAGGATGTTGTGAAACTTGAAAGGGTTCAGAAAAGATTTGCAAGGATGTTGCCAGGGCTGGAGGCTTTGAGCTACACGGAGAGGCTGAATAGACTGCGGCTAATTTTGCTGGAGAGTCCCAGGCTGAGGGGTGACCTTAGAGGTTAATAAAATCATGAGGGGCATGGATAGGGTAAATAGACAAGGTCTTTTCCCTGGGGTGGGTGTGTCCAAAGTTAGAGGGCATAGGTCTAAGGTGAGAGGGGAAAGATTTAAAAGGGGCCTAAGGGGCAATTTTTTCATGCAGATGGTGGCGCATGTATGGAATGAGCTGCCATAGGAAGTGGTGGAGGCTGGCACAATTACAACATTTAAAAAACATCTGGATGAATAGGAGGGGTTTAGAGGGAGATGGGCCAAATGCTGGCAAATGGGTCTAGATTGATTTCGGATATTTGGGCAACATGGTCGAGTTGGACTGAAGGGTCTGTTTCAGTGCTGTATATCTCTTTGACTCTCAAAACTCTAGAACAGTTTGCAAGTTGTACTTTAATACACTTTCATGCTGTCTGAAATCTTTGTGGTGTGAATTGATCAACTTTAAATGAGTTTTATAACTCATCAGTAAATGTGTAAGTAAAAACTGAAATATGCCCACTATGCATGCAGCTTCTGTATGTGAAAAATGTAATGCATTTAAAGGGAATGCATTAGATAGAAATTTGAGAAAGGAAAAGGATAGAACTGATGTTGATGTGGTTGGGAGAAGAAAGGTAAGAGAAGGTGTGTGCAAAGTATAAGCACTGGCATGGACTTGTTGAGCCAAACTGTTTCTGAACAGTACATTGCTTATAGTTCTGTATGAAAGCAAGATTTCAAGGCAGTTATGGATTGGAGAGGCCACTTATTCCATCTCATTTCACCCAATCAGATAGACTATACAGTTCATTCCTCTCCATTGTAGCTTTGAATTATCTCCAAAATTGTTCTAAACTTTTCTCCTGCAACCCTCCATTCCTTTGAGAGCAGTTGACATCAAGCTTCAAATGACCTTTTTTAACCCTGTATGGTATTACTTTAGATTACGTTAGTCCATATTTACTTACCTTCATTCCTTAACTATTTTGCATATATAGTGTGGTCAGGTTTCCAGTAAATCCCTTTTCCTGAGA